GTTTGTCTGGGAAATGGGCCGTGCTCTGTATGTAAAAGGCACTTTACTGGTTTGTCTGTTTATGCACCAGTTTGGATTTAATCATGAGGTATTATTCATCTTTCCCAGAGTCTGTCCTTTGTCCCGTCCCTCCTCTAACCCACAAGCTGAGCCTGGTTCTGGTTACTTCCTGTTGAACGGGAGTTTATCCTTCCCACCGTCGCCCGGCTCAGGAGTCATCTGATCGATGGTTTTCAGGATTGTCTTCATCTTACAGTATAAAGCACCTGCTTGTTGTTACTAAACTTACATTGAAACATAAGAAGCTTGAAACACAGATGCAATATTGCAAGATGAAAGAAATATGTGGCTCAGTTTCTGTGCAGAGACGATGCTGAAGAGGAGTCAGCTGGATGTGAGCGTACGAACGCCACGAGCTTTCTGCTCAAACATTAAATAATAAACACAATAATAACAACTACACTACGAGTCAGCTCCTCGTTTCATGTCTCATCTACTTAGGACAGTTTGGTCTCTCATTCAGCACGTCTGTGTGTTTGCACGTATCAGCAGAGATCTGTGGTGGCTGAGCATGCAGTGAAGGTGCCATGAGGTCATACGAGGGTGTATACGGCCATTGTTTTCTTGGTGCAGAGGAGTGTTCGCAGAGGGCACTCCAAACAGGCTGTGGTCGAGGGTGTGGTGCCTCCAAGTTTATTGTGTACAGCATCCTGTCCTATAAATAGAGCAAGAGAAAAGGATAAGTTACAGTTGTCAGCACAGCAGGAAACCCAGGAGGAGCTGCTTCGGCTCAGGAGAGGCTCTGAAGTTAAAGCTGATTCTTGCAGTGAGGATCCATCACTGTGGACAACAACAGGGAGAAATGTTCGAGTTTTTTATGATGCATGCTTTCATTTTGCTCTACAGTTTCTCGTTTGTTGCCAGCAGCAGATAATGTTAATGAAATTACAACCAAACCACGTGCTCAGTAGCAAAGAGCACACCGACCGCGACAGGAAGTGGTCCAAACATTTATCTTCAGAGTAGGCGGAGACTAAAATACACATACAGGTAAACTTTTCTGGATACTCCAATATATTAGGCTACAGTTCTCTACTGTGTGCACTAATATGACTGTACTGCCCCCAAGTGACGATTACAAATAGCGTGTCCGTGAGTCTATAAGATGCTGTCTGTGATGGGTTTGATGCCTCATGCAGCTGTGCTGTGAAGGTAACGGCTCGTGTCTTCTCCTCCTCAGGCTTCCTGTGTCACAGCGTCTATGCAGATACTGCTGCAGAGGAAACCACTGATGCACCTGCTAATGACACAAGTGCTGCTACCTCAGATACATCTACAAAGACTGCAGCCACAACTGTGTCAGCAACAACAGCAACAGGAGTCACGAGCAGTCAGAACATCGACCAACAGAGCACAGCAGTGCAGACGACACAGACGACCCCAGCATCCACTCAGAGCACAGTCAAAGCAGAAGCAACAGGAACCACAGCAGCGCTGACTCCTCCCACCAGTACTGCTAACGAGACTACGACTGCGGTCACCACCTCAACCTTGGCTGCTATACCCACGCCAGCCCCATCAAAAACAGTCCCCACCCCCACCACCGAATCAGCGCTGAGCACTAAGCCCTCCACAGTAACGGCATCGCCATATTCTCTGTCCAATAAAATCACTGCACCATATAATGTGTCATCAGCAAACGAGCGACACGAGAGCACAAACAGCCCAACAGCATCACCATCCACGGCTCCAGCTGTGACCACTGTGACCGCGGGACAGACGCCTCCCACAGGTAAGGACGTTTGTGCCCTGATGTGAATCTGAGACACCACAACAAATACTTCAAGCTGACCAAACTAGTATAAATGAGACTGTGATGCCTGCAGAGGCTTTCAAACTGCACTCCAAGGAAATGAACTTGGATGTGAACGACTGTGAAAAGGGTTAAAGATCTCGTTTCCACGTGGAAGCGCGGCGTACGCAGGTTCAGGTGCCACGTGAATGATTTTAACGTCGTGTTTAAAGGGAAGAAGACACAACTTGCACTTTACGTACTTTTAAGTGCTTCTTAATTTCTTAGTAATTTTGGGGGAAGCAGTATTTCCTTCTTTCATGATCAGAGATGGGCAGTTACTGTAATCCGATTACTTTTTTCAAGTAATGAGTAAAGTAAGGGATTACTATTGCAAAAACGGTAATTAGATTACCGTTACTTTCCCGTAGGAACGCTGCGTTACTGCGTTACTAAAACCGAGATTTTTTTGCGAGAATGTCTCATGACAGTGACGTAAGCGAGTGCGACGTTCGTGACAACAGCTGTGTGCAGATCAACAATGGATAATATATCGAGTGCAGAGAGAGTATGAGCATGCAGCGTTTAAAGCGTGGAAGTACTGACCTTACTTTGAGTTTGATTCCATAAAAAGTGACAAAAACATTAGTGTCCGTTGTGCGTGGGAAGAAAACTTCTTTTTACAGCGAAAAAAACCCTAAACTTCCAAACAAGCACCGAGTAGCTACGACGTAATGGGAAACTCACAGAGAAACTCGCGGATTCTTCCACTGACCGCTGCACACCTGCACCAGGGTAAACCTCCGCCTACCCCACTCCTGCTTTACAGGTGAAAATAGAGCAACAGGACCGCTAGTCTTTGACTTTATTTATTTTCTGCTGTGTTTTACTTGCATCTATTTGAAAGACTGAGTGTAAACACAAAAAATATTTTATTTTATGTGCTGGAATGTGCAGAAAATAGGTTTAAATATTAAACTAATTTCTTCCAGTCAGAGAATGTTGCAGATAATTAAATTTTTGCTTGATGCATAAAGTTAAAAGATTAAAACTAATAAAACAAGTTTTAAAAAGAGACTTTTCCATTTGATTACATTTTGTATGATGATGATGTAGAAAAAGTAGAATTGGGCTGAAAGATCTATCACTTTATCACCTATTCAGGTTGTAAATCGTGTTTTTAAAAAGTAACTAAGTAATTAATTACTTTTGAAAATAAGTAATCAGTAAAGTAACGGGATTACTTTTTGGGGAAGTAATCAGTAATTAGTTACTGATTACTTTTTTCAAGTAACTTGACCAACACTGTTCATGATGTGCATTTTTATTATTATTCGAGTTCCTACTTTAAGCATTTGTTACCTGATGTGACGCAGACCACACACAGTCCTGACCCTGTTGGTCCGTCTGCTCAGTTCTTCAAGCACCTGGAGAATTAAAGGTGTTGACTGTGGTGTGTTTTGTTCTTTTAATACTTTCTCCAAACCCTAAAATGTGACGTAGCTGTCACTGATTCGCTGGCTCAGAGGGATCTGCATCACCACGACGACAAAATCCCTGAATCTACAAGAGTACCTGGAGGGGCCAGAGGGACCACTCAGCTTACAAACCCAGGGGTCTCCAGCACCTCCTCCAGTGTGAAAAAAGGAGTTCATACAACAACTACAGATTCAGCCGTGCAAGCCCCCACGGCCACTATCAAGACTCCAACATCCACGCAGAAGTTTGTTGTAAGCACTGAAGTGGAGCACACACAGCTTCCATGTTGTCATTGTTACTTGCATCTAAATGTCAGCGCCTTTGAATGAGATGCTTCTCGTTTTTCTCTGCAGTATTTCCACAAAGGCGACGTGGAGGTAAGATTTTGTTTCGCTCTGATCCATTTAAAGCCTGCAGAGTGTCGTCACCTGTGCAGAGTTTATTAAAGTGTGAGAGAGTAAAATAACGAATCCCTGAGGGATCTGTGGCTGAACAGGATGATGGCACATGCTGCACGTCCTTTGCTTACACTCGTACTGTTCTAGGAGTTGAAGGCATTACTGAAACTTTATATTTATATATATTCAACAGCTGATGATTGTGTTCATATTTAAAATGGCAGACAGGCGCTGGGTGGATCTGTGAGGCGTGCGAGCTTTGTCTGAGTGAAGCATGAAGCCTGCTATTAAAACAAAACAACCATTTCAGTCACTGGGTGGAAAAAGTGTCTTAGTGGGAACCCTTCCTGCCTTTCTCTAGTTTCCTTTGTTCCCACAACTCTTTTTGAAGCAGCTTTGACCCTCAGTCGTGCTCTTTAATAGTGCACCAGAAATAAGCAACACATCACAACACAGGAAAATACGGCCTTGGCTGTGGCCTCTGACCTTCCTGTCCTCCCACTGGCAGCGCAGCAGCGTAGAGCGCTTTCTGGTTCATGAAACAAAAAGGACGTGTGCTGATGTGTTTTTGTTTAACGGCGTTTACAGACGTGTCATTTTTTATTTTAGACCAAGGAAAAAGATAACGAGAAACATTTCAGGAAAGTGTGCCAGAGGCTGATGGAGAGCATGGACAACGGATCCTGCACCCTGAACTGGCTCGTCCAAAACGGGTCAGTGAAGATCGGATCTGTGGAGATAAATGGCAAAGGTAAAAAATATCCGTTCAGAAAAGGGACGTTCACTGAGGTTATAATGCAGATTACTTTTCTCTGGAAATCAATCAATGTGATCCTGATCTTTCAGTGAACGAAAGCCTTGCGCAGCAGTATTATGACGAGCTCACCCAGGTGAGGATTCGGCTCTTTAGATCAGCCTCGGACCCTCGGCCTCCGCAGCAACTAGTTACTCCTGTTTGTTCCTCTCCTAGAAAGACCAGGTAAAGACAGATAACAAAACGGTGATCATTATCCTGGCCTGTGGTGGAGCCTTTCTTATCCTGAT